GCTAGCATATTAGGGGTAACAGTTCTCGGTCGGCCGACGCCGTTCGATGGCGCTTTGGTAGTTCCAAAGCGAACTAGATTCGATCGGCGGCGGCGTACCGTACGGGCTGTTGAGGAGCTTATCATGGCTATGTTCTCATCAGTAGGTGCATCGCCACCCTCCAGCTTCGCGATGATTGCATTATCTATCAAATATTGTTGACTGAGGGCAAGATTCGGCGCCATCCCGATTGTATTGGTTCATGGAAGGGACTGCTTCCTGGCCATCTGCGGAAAGTTTAAATTTGGTAGTCCATTGCTGCCTCAGGTACACATTTTGCTCCGGCATTATATACATCCGGTTTCAGGAGCCTGTGCCTCAAATACCACGTGCGTCAAGCTTTGAAGGACTTTTATTTTGACAGCAGGGCTATTTCGTCCCCAACTGTATCTATTCCGTAATTTCTGATCAAAAACTAGAAAATTTGGTCACACGGAGTCAAGAGGGACACGTGGGCACAATATGCTTGACTATGGTTGTGACCCAGGTTAAGAGATTAGAATCGGCATAGCGAATTTCATCTAATCTAGATATATACTCATAGACGCAGCTTGTACATCGCGACACTCCAGGACCCTTGTGATATTGANGATTAGAATCGGCATAGCGAATTTCATCTAATCTAGATATATACTCATAGACGCAGCTTGTACATCGCGACACTCCAGGACCCTTGTGATATTGACTAGATGAGTATGACCACTGAGGGAGGCTCAGGGAGGCTGCGGGTGCGATCCATCGATAATTGGTATGCAGAAGTGATCGATGAGGCTGCTTGCTCTGGGATGCGCGACCTGAATGCAAGTATACACAATCGATCGAATTATTCGCAAAGGAATTACCCCGCACTAAATGACCCACAATCGACCACTAAACCCTCTTCTGGTATAGTGCTTTTAGCTATAACGGAAGCACGAAATTAGCTTCAAACCGATTCCATTGATCACACCGCTAACCATGAGTATCGAAGGTTGAAATGTAGTGAAGCCATTTAAAGTTTTATGGTGAGGGCCACTCTNATATAATCAACCAATGAGAAATAAGAATAGCATCAAATACCCACTCATTTAAGTACCAGATAGACAATAAATTAGGCCGCTATTATTTCCTCTGCGACATTTACTTGATAATGATAAGTTCGGGCAGTCAGTATCATCTAATAGATAGAAAAGATACACTTTATTCTTGCTCTCCATTGCTTGTATAATATGAGATTTTATTTAAATAGTCAATGAATTATAAAATATCACTATAGACTGAGACTGGGACTGATAGCTAGTATATCAGATAAATAAAAGATATATTAAACCTTCTAAAGTATATCTATGGATTTAGTCCCGGCTATTAAAAGTGTTATTGACTGTACCATGGTTAATACCAGTTTGAGAGCCTTTATTTTGATCTCCAAACTGAATATTCACCCCCGGTTCAGTACTTTGGGCGTTTGCGGCTGCGGTTTGAATACCTAAGAGAAGCTCTTCAAGTAAATTGCGCGATACACTTAGAGCAGTCTGCCCAGCTGCTACCTGACTGATTGCATCAGTACGGTCGGCTTCTGTCTCGTTCTGCTCCCGCTTCGCTAGAACTAGCGCTCCCAGTTTCGTATTCATCTCAGCCAGCTGACTATCTATTGTTTCAATCGCAGTCGTGAATTCGGTTTTCTTTATTGATATAGCCGTTGCTATCTCTCTAGTATTATCTGCTTGTTGCAAGGAGCTATGTCTAAGTATTTGATGTTAGCGCTCTTCTTTATTTAGATAATGTCTAACTCACAGAGATGCGATGGTGACAACTGAAGTAAGAACTTGCAACCCTGAAGTTGCTCTGACATAGACTTTATCTGGCCCTGTTTGAGGACCCCAACCACTGCCTGATCTCGCCAAGATAGCTTTCCGTCATCACTATGCCGAGTCCAGCGACCGAGGGATGTCCTGAATTTATCGCATGAGTTTGTGTATAACTCGATCGCAGGCTCCAACTGAGCAACTACGCTGTCGCCTAGGGATTTCCACTGTTGCTCTGATACAGCCTGGAGGGATGTTAAGGAATTGTCAATAGTAAGAAGATCGTCCTTCATTAACCTAATAGCATTAGGCGCGTCACGAATCGTCTGGATCGTCTATTAGAAGTCGCACGCCATGTAGCGCAGGCGTAACAACGCCTATTACACTGGCTGCGATGCTTAATGGGTCCATTTTAAAACTTGATGTCTGATAGAACTTATCACTGGCATGAAGTAAATATCGCAGAGGACGCAATGGCGGCCTAATTTATTGTCTATCTGGTTGGGCTACATCACGTGCTACCCTCAGCCTCAGCCTTATAATTCTATACCCCGCAATTCCTATGTAATCTCTTTTCATTCTTTACATCATGTAAATTACGCTTGACATAACCCATACTAGTACTGGTTGGGGCCGGGGTTGGGCCGGGCTAGGCTCTTCGGCCTCTGGCCAATTCATTAGGCACTCTAGCATTTAGGCGGGGGAACTGGAGCTGCAGCCGCCACCATCACCTTGGAAGCGGCACTCGCGAGTTCTTGGTTTGGGGGACTGCTAGGCGGACACTTTGCTATTGAATTAACGGTATTGATACACCATTGAGAAATTCACAGTTTGTTTATGAGCCTTGGACACTGTAACATGGCTCGTGCACCGGGAATTCACCAAACTTTGTGTTCGTGAATGAGGAAGCCGGATTCCCATCTAGCTGTATCAATCCTTAGGAAGTTGCTGCTAGATTGCTTGGTATTTAGAGCCTGCAAAAGTTATTAAGCAACGAGCATCAACTACAAGATGTAATTGAAAGAATCTTATCATCTGTAGCATATACTGTACACACATAATATAACGACTTGCAGCGCCTTAACTTCAGTCTTCGTCAATAAGAACCCCAGCGTGTCTAAAGTGGCCTTCGGCAATTTCCCTTCGCCTCCCTACGACGCGAACAGCTTCTCTAAGAAAAGCTGCGAAATCTTCTCTAATCAAGTCCTCAAATTCGTCACAGACTTCTTGAATGTATCTCTTCAGCTCACCAAAGAACTCCTCAATGGGGTTCAGGTCAGGGGAGTATGGTGGTAGGTAGAGCAGTACCACTCCTGCGTCGTCGCAGAGCTGTTGGATCCTCTCTGAGTGATGGATTGAGGCATTGGCAACGATCAAAAAGGATTTCGGCTCAGGCCATTTGCGACAATAAGGGAGGAGCCGTTCAAGAAATTCCTCGAATCTCTTGCTATCAGTAGAGCCCTCAAACACTTCAAAATGCATAATTCCATCTTGGGTTTATGCAGGGAGGATCTGGAACCTCTGGCCACGATGTGGTCGCTTAATTTGTACTGGGGTAATGCCTTTCTTAGACCATCCCTTATTCTTAATACCGATGCTTTTATCACACCCGCTCTCATCAATGTAAATTAATTGGCAGGAATTAAAGAATGATCTTTCATGTATGTGGTCGGCTCTTAAATCTGGGTTACGCTCCTTGGCAACATTCCGCGTAACCTTCTTTGTGTATCCTATGCTCTTCAGAGCTCTACTTACGCTGAAACGAGTCACATGGGCATCAAATTCCTTGCGAAGAAACGCAACCATATCCCTTAAACGCATACATGGAGAATCTACAAGCTGATCGCGCAAAGCGGCTAGCATATTAGGGGTAACAGTTCTCAGTCGGCCGACACCGTTCGATGGTGCTTTGGTAGTTCCGAAGCGAACTAGGTTCGATCGGCGGCGGCGTACCGTACGGGCTGTTGAGGAGCTTATCCTGGCTATATTCTCGTCAGTAGGTGCATCGCCGCCCTCCAGCTTCGCGATGATTGCATTATCTATCAAACATTATTGGCTGAGGGCAAGATTCGGCGCCATTCCGTTGGTATGGTTCATGGAAATGACTGCCTCGTGACCATCCGCCAAATTTGCTGGTCCATTACTGCCTCAGGTACACATTTTGTCTCGGCATAATATATATCCGGATTCAGGAGCTTGTGCCGCCCCATGTACCGCGTGCGTTAATCGGGATTAGCGGGTTTCGTCCAGACTGGATGGCAATATGCACTACACTGCTATTACGAGCGTCTCATTGCGTCCCCACTGAGGCCTGTGCGACAAATAAGGGCTGGGAATATGCTACCCTTGAGCTAATTTTCGGCGTAGTTGATGGAAGCTGTTACCAAGTTGAGACAGTGCTGCAAATATGCCTAAGAATGGACGATATCCGGAAGATATCTCTGAAGAACTTCGGAAATACACACCTAGATTGTATCTTGGTGCTAGGTCACGGAGAGTAACTGGAAGGTTTCATGTCTGTAGGTTTTCGGGCCCTATTGTTCAATGCGCATCTAGACAGATAGTGCGCTCTGTCAATTGCTCAGTCCATTATACGGATATACGGCCTATCGTTGCATACACTAGGCTCCACCATGCTACAGGTTCTCCTTACAGGACTCATGTATATCCCAAGCAATCACTCACTCCGCTGCAATCTCGATACAGCTTTGGACCAAAAGTGCTTGAGCCCCGGTAAGGTCAGGGCTGGAGGGAACTTAATAACTTCGTCCCAGCTTAGCCTCTCGTTTGCTTGCTCAATTGCGTCATTTCTTTGCTTCTTTGCCCAGTCGCTAGCATTTCGATATGTTGCGACTCCTCGCCGAAAGGTATCGACATCGTTGGTCAAAGCAAATGCACCGAGCTGCGTTACAACAAATCCTGGTTGCCCAAACAGCGAGGATAGTTGTATTGCATGGGTAGCGAAAATCTTCAATTGTCCATCCAGATACAAGCAGCTGAGAGTATGAGATTTGTTATCGTATGAAGCGTGAAAGGGATTGCGCGATCGAAGAGCCTGTTGGCCTCTTTCTCCAAGAGCCATATCGTAAAATAGCTGTTGTTGAGCTACAGCTGCAGAACCGTCCTTCCCTTTTACTTCCACGAAGAAATTCGGCGCGACAGGGAGATCACTCTGAGTGGAAGGGACAACACGACCGCTCAGTGCTTTGCGTATTTGTGGGTGGAGCTGCTCCGGACGCGCACCATAGAATATATCGGGGCTGGCTGGCACAAGTGTACCGTCCGTTAGATGCTCAAGATTCGTGAATGGAATTTTGCCAGCGAGGCATTTTCTGTCCCCTATATCTCCTTCAATAATAGGGATGACGCTTGTCGTGATATCTCTCTCCTTTGTTGCTTGCGCTTCTGCTTGTTCGAACTTGCGGAAGTCATGGTTTGAGAAATGACTCAGCGATGCTCTGGATTGGGCCAGAACCCGAAGGATATCTTCTTTATTTTCAAGCTTTGGCGGCATTCCACCATCTGGGAACTCATAAGCATGAGGAAATATGCCGTAATCGATGAGGTATTGCTGAAAGGCCCGGTCGTATGATCGTATACTTTCCCTGCCTGCTGTTTCCGGAGTGGTATTATGTTCTGGAAGTAGTTGCAAGTCACTTTGCTTCGCTAGCCCGTGGCTCTTTCTTTCTACGCCAAAAAAGCGGGCGAAGTGTTGTAGCTTAGCAACTCGCGGGATGACGATCCGAGCAGTCCACCACTGTTCAGAATCAGACACTTCATCGATTTGATTGGAGATTTAAGCCTACCTGAAGCATTGTTCGCGCCATACAATGAAGACTGCCGTGGTTTGATAAATGAATCCTTAAGTTAGCAACAGGCCTAGATCTGATTAGCAGGCATACTTGTTAAAACAAGAATCATATGCATCAAGGCTGCGTGGTCGACTTTCAGTTAACTTCTTGTGTTGTGTGCGCCTAGTCATACGCCACAGTTCAGTATCCTCTTATTCAACTACGCTTGGCAAACTATACAATTTCCGTCAAGTCGGGGTTAGACTACGGCCCTCAGCCGATAACAGTCAACTAATTCGAGTTAAAGGTCCTTTTTCATCTACAACAACTGCATAGGGCCGTTGCGAATGGGGCTTCAAATTTGCCTAAGCATTGACAATAACTTACTTAGATGCGACACTTCGGCCGATAGGGGGTGGAGTCGTTTTATGAATGATGCCCATTCGTCGACGGGCTGAAGAAATTCGTGGTCCCCGCGAGAGTCTCAAGGAAAATCACGAAAGGGGCGCATGATCCGTAGCAAAGCTCCAAGCTCTGTCGAAGCTTCGTGGCTCATACTGATCTGATAATTTCTAAGGCGCATTTTCCTATTTAAGTAACAATTAGCTTTTAGCCTGGTGAAGTCCAGAAGCTTAGCCCAATCGACGATCTAGGCCGCAATGGGGTAACGTACTGACCGGAATAGGTAATTCCTAACAATTGCATTTACTTTGAAATATGAGGTTTATCTACATCATATATGCATCATATCTACATCAATTTTTCTGTAAGTTTATTAGATGTTTGATCTGTTAGAATAGCGGAAGGGTATCTGCATAGTATTGTGATATATTTTCTCTAGATCTTGCTTATTTGCGGAAGCACTTGGTACATGCACTGATTGAAGGTACACACATGAACTGTTGCTCCTGGAAAAACCAACACGACGATTGGAAAAGGCTCCTACTTATTAAGTTTACGCCACCTTCAAAATCTTACGTCATCTCTCTTGGTGAAACAACAATAATGGTATGTATACAGAACGCCCACCTTCAAATCCGCAAAGTAGTAGCGTCCACATTCGTCAGGGCCTGGTTACTACCTATCGCAGTTCCAGATACAGCCATTGGTTTTCATATTCTTCTATACATGTGCATCATCAAAACTAATATTTTATGCCCGCCTAAATCATGATCAGCAAGTATTCAACCCAAACTCAGGTCAACCAAAAGTGCCGATGTTCCCACATCTTGGATGTTGAAACTGAGATGATTGTCCGACTGCCGCACATCTTTAAGCTACGAGTGAGTAAATGAAACATCCGCAGTAAGAGCATATATAAGACGATGTTGACGCCAGCATTTAAAAATATCAGTTCCAGGTTTTCTGTCCTAAAAGATCTCCTCGATTCTCCACACACAGTCATGACCTACTTCAACGCTGGGAGAAGAAGTCTTTAAAGCCTTCGTTTACCCCATCCATTGAGCAACTGAGAGTTGTAAGACTCTGCCGTATGCAAAATGTGGTAGTGTCAGCGCGGCCAGGATCGGGCAAAACGGCTGCAGCTGAAGCTATTATCGCCGCTCATCCGGACAAGCGAGTAGCAGTGATCACTTATTCGAAGAGACTTCAACTTGAGACGCGTCATCGGCTTCATCCTTATACTAATTGCCAAGTTTTCACTTTTCACGGGATGGCCGGCTCGCTGTTTGGAGCTGTTGTGCGTAATGATGCTGAATTATTAGAACAAAGAAGGAGAGTCCTTCGTTGCAATGCGCTTCCTCGCTGGAATTTTACGCCATTTGATATTATTGTTTTGGATGAATTTCAGGATTGTACTGAAATTATTTACTGGCTAACTAATTGCTTCATCCTAGCTAATAAACAGGAGACTGACGATCATTCTCCCCAACTCGTCATACTAGGTGACGAGCGGCAATCTATATATCGATTTCGCGGTGCCGATCATTGCTACCTCTCACTAGCTCCTCGAATACTTGCTCATACAAGTCCCTACCCATTCGTTAAAATTCCTTTGAGCCAAAGCTTTAGGCTATCGGATCATTTAGTTCAATTTGTCAACCGGGTTTTTCTCAATGGCGAATCATACATTTCTAGCTCAAAACCTGGTCTTAAACCTATCGTGCTGAGATGCGACCCTTATGATAGCTATGCGCTAGCTAAGAGATTGTCAGCCCTGATCAAGCGCTATGGAGCAAAGAATAGCGCATTGATAGCACCGTCTCTTGAGGAAAAACAAGCCATTGAAGCTCTTGACTAATATATTGTCTAAGAAATATCGCATTCCAATTGCGATATCGACCAATGATGAGGTGGCTCTGGATGATAGAGTGACTTACGGGAAGACGTGTGTTTCTACTATCCATCAGTTTAAAGGCAGCGAACGTCATTTAGTCATTCTCTTCGGTATTGACTCCTCGTTCTTCGAGAATTTTGGCCGCGATATTTCGAACGACAGGTGCCCCAATGAGATTTTTGTGGCTCTTACACGTGCCGGAAAACAGCTTGTCTTAGTCCACGACGAAAGCAAGAAGCTTATGCCTTTTATGTCTAGGGAAGACCTATACGAAACGGCTGAGGTTGTCAACATGACAAATAATTTGGCAAAACTTTCAGTGCCCAACCCAACTGGCCAACCATTACATCTTGGTCTTGCTCTGCCAGCTTCTATCCCGGTCCGAGATATGGTCCGACACATACAGGATGAACCTCTGCAGGGCATTATTACTCGTGAACTGTGCATCCAGAAGCTTTCCCCACCGCTACCCAAGCAAGAGCACATCAATATACCCAACGTCGTCCTTTCAGACCCACGCAAAAGATTTTACGAAGCAGTAAGCGATATAAATGGGCTTGTCACCGTCGCGGCCTTCGAACACAGTACTACCGGAACGCTTAATACACTGAAAATCGATCAAAGTCTCATCGAAGCAATACCCCCCATCGGTTCAACACAGTATATCTCTTGGCTTTGTCGCTACGCATGTGAATACGAGGCTGGCATCTCGGGCTATCTACCACGAAAAAATCAGATGGAAAATCACGCATTTGATTGGATGATGCCTAGAGATCTTGCCTTAGCCCGGAACAGGATTCAAGGAGAACTGGGAGATGGCACCGCAAATATTCGGTTTGAAGTTAACGCCGAGCAAACATTCAGTGTTGATGATAATGAAACCCGCCTTCAAGGTCAAGCCGATATTGTCGCAGTCGCTCCCCCATCAGGAAACAGTGGTAGTAGAAGCGCTGATTCTATCTGGGAGATCAAGTTTGTCTCGCACCTTTCTAACAGCCATGTCTTACAAGCATGCACGTATGCCTATTTATTGGGGTTAACACGTATCATGCTCTATAACGTGCGAGATGGGGAGAAATGGGAAATCATACCGCATGATGGACAAGAAGGGCTACGGCGTATGATCGAAAGCGTTCTCAGAGTCAAGTATACGACTACGGGACAAATGAATGATAAGGAGTTCATTGATATGTGCGCAAAGGTCATGCTGGAAGTCTCAAGCCTAGATGATTCACGGAAGCAAATATCTCTCGCAGGTTGCAACGCTTAACATAACGTTAGCAGTGAAAATGCAAATAAAGTCGAAGATAAAGAAAGCTGCCCTACTACGGCGTTACTAAGTGGTGAAGAAGAAGCTTAAATTCTCGCGTGCGCATTGTGCATTTAGGCGAGGCCACATTGAGGACAGGCCATCAGTTGAATTCAAATTCATATGAAGAGAATTTTGTGAGCTATATCGTCTTCGGTACATAAGCATTATTAAAATTTAATATACGTGTAGAGGTTGTGGGGCGCAACGGTCAAGCGCAGTCTTCCAGAGAAAAAGATCGCAGGTTCGAATCCTGCCAGCCTCTACAAAACAAACCAACCCAACCAAGCAAGCTGCCGCTTGTGAAGACACAATGCTGAAGGTTCTCTCTAGCCTTTCGGCGCGGCTATTCTAGAATAGCGTAGAAACAAAGGTTTTCCCCTTCTTATGGGGTTTTTTCCTTTTGATATATTGGCTTGTTAACATAACAATTTTTCTTTTTGGATAAATAAATTTGGATAAATAAATATAGCGAACAAGGGTCGACGCCTCTGGCTATTGATTAATAAGCTTCGTGTCAAGCTGGCCTCAAAAGAGCAAGACTACTGTTGGGCTCCCTGAAGTATAAGATGTGTAATGCGGCTTAATATAAATCCGGTTTCAGATGCATGCGAGAGCTCGTACCGCTCAATGTACCGCTCAATGTACTACGTATAGATTAATGTAATTAACACTGTAATGCACATTTCCGTGCGCTAAAGAGTTGATTCCAATAGGACGGCTATTTCGCTCCTAACTGTAGCAAAAAGGAGTTTTCAATATCGTTAATATAAACTAATAGGCTAAGCAGCTAAAAATAGCTATGTTTTAGGGAAAATTAGGAAACTTAAGGTAGGGTGTAGTAAACTTAAGTGATTAGCATTTACAGTTAGGGGCGAAATAGCCGTCCTGTCGAAATTATTTCTCTAGCGCACGGCCATGCGTATTACAGTGCTAATTACGGGCGTAGTACTTAGTGTGGTACAAGCTCTTTGAAACCTTCTGGAACCGGGTTTATATTATGCCGGAACCCATTTGTACCTGAGGCACCAGTAGACCAGCGAAATGGTAACCTCACTGCAAATAGCCACAAGGCAGTCTCTCCATGAACCAACACTATTGGAATGGCACTGAATCTTGCGCCTACCGATGGCAACATAGCCAGGATAAGCTACGAGTATAGTGGCAAGGAAAGCAGACTGGCAAATTTGCAGCATGCGAAGATCGTATATTCAGGAAAGTCGCCATTTATAATCCTACGTAACCCCCTAGGTTTTTAAAACTAGTACAATAATTTTCCAAATATGATTTTTAATCCATTATCACTTGACCTCATACGCTAATTAATTGCCTATGTAGATAGAGCGGAAAGACATTAATTTAGAACTGCACCTTTGGCGACCAGCCAGCATATGAAAGCAGACGAAGAAATGAATTATCATATATTAAATTATTGGCTAGTTGGTGATTTATTATACTGACAATCGCGGCTAGCTGTTGAACTACTGCGAGATTAGGGTTCATCTTTACTCTTCCTCACTTAGCTTGTCACCCAGTTTGTTACTAAGGCTTAACTGTCTAAAGCTCTCGCGGCCAGGGAAACACTACTTCAGTGCATGGGTTCCCGTTGAAGAAGCACATACCGAGCAACCACCTGCGACGCGGAGGTGCGGGACATCGGCACTGTCGGGGGATTTCTCGAGGCTAACCTCAAGTGAGACGTGTCGGTGGATGTCATTAGCTTCATAAGTCTTCGAGCCTGGATCGCGAAACCATGCCGAGGTGAAGACAAAAGCCAGCGGCGGATGCGCCTCACCCTTATCCTCGTCTTTATCAGCCCACACAAAGACTGCGCCGTAGGGCGCCGACCGCCCCGTCGGGTCCCATATGCTGCCTAGCCGTAGCTTTCGGCGCGCCTTAATCGCTGCTGCTAACTCAGCGGCCATGCGGTGGAGATACATTTCAGTAAAGGAGATGTAGTCCTCTTGGGCGTTGGAGTTAGCGTCGTCGGCAAGATATTTGTCGATCCAGTTAGCGAGAGGGCGGTGTCCTAGATCATTTAAGCGAAAAACAAGCTGTAGTAGATGCTTCCGTTTGTTGAGTGTTAATCGACCCCTTGGGATGTTGATCCAGGGTAGCTTCTTCTTAAATTTCGAGGTGTCGATGACGCGGCTTAACTTCCACAAGTGCCCCTTTGTCAAATGCCATCCGCTGTTAGCTTCACGTCGGTCAGTCGGCAGCCCTTGTTGAATGTTAACTCCCTAGTGTCGACCTCGGGCGCGCCGTCGTTAGCGGCGCCACCAGCTCTTGGTTGCAGTCGTTATTATCGAGAATCTCGCCATTGAGTAAACACATGGCCAGGATCGACAAACTTAGGCTACGACGCTGCTTGTTGAGAGCTTCATAATCTAACCGTACTGGGTATTGACAGCAATTGGCGAGAATAGCGAGCCGGTCCCACGGCTTTAACAACCCGCGCGCCTCAATGTCGGCGACTATTGTTGGTGTCATTGCGCTCGACTTAGGCAGCATCTCTGTATACCTTCCAGCCGCTCGAAGCACGTCGTTGACCCGGCAGACGTCATCCGGCGGCAGTTCTATCCTGCTGCGCAGCGCCAGGCATAGTCGCGTTGCCTCCCTGAAGAAGGTGACGGACGGCACGCATAGCTCGCCCCGTATCTTACCAAATATCCGATGGTGTCTCTTTTGCTGCTCTAGCGATGGATCATGGCGGATCAGCAGCTGCATTCGCTGTCCGCCACGATAGTTCTCCTGGAAAGTCCAGGCGCGACCTCACCAAATGTCCCGGGTGATCTCGCGAAGTAGCCACAAGGCCTTCTTCGCCTTATGAACGGTAGTCGCTTGCGAAAGTCGAATGTTACGGTTGCCTTCGACGAGGTTCCCCGAGAGGATGTGTCCAAGAAGATCCAGCTCGGATTTCATCTGCACGGGGCGGGCTAATAGCGCAACAGGATGCTTGCTGAGCTGGTAGACGAGGTCCATAGCTTGTAGAGCATCGCGCTTTTGAATACAACGGCGGTGGCTGGTACAAGCGGCAACGCCGCACGTGTCTTGTTGGATGCAGTCGGCATCGATCTAGAGGAGCTGAACTTTGGCGTAGCGCATGTAGCGGAGGACGCGATCAAGGACGCAATTCCGAACTGCCGAAGGTTTGAGATGGTTGTCATCCCAGCCCTCAACGCGATACCGCCCATTGCAAGGATTCTCGTACTCTGAAGGTTTCTAGGTATATGATAGCGCGACATACTGTGGCTCGTTAAAGGCGTTAATAGACGTGCGGAGTAACTGCGTGCCTTCCGGCCGGAGACACTGGAGGCGGCTGATGAAGGGGCGGAACTTGACGTGTCTTTGTTGATTGCGCTCGTTACCTATATCGACGAGCTGCGAGATAATAGATGCTCCGTAGTCTAGGCTAAGTTCGTGAAGCGACAGGTCCTTATCGTCATCATCCTTCATTGCGCTTCCTTATAGAATAAGGGCGAACTATAAGATAGCGGCTTCTAGGAGTAGGTGGGTGGAGGAAGCTTACAATTAGATTTGGCTTGAGGCTATGTTGGCGACTGATCCACTTGTCAGTAAAACATTCATTCATGCACCCGTCCTATAAAAATCAACTCTCTAGCGCATGAACATGTATATTACTGTGCTAATTATTTTATCTCGTACGTAGTACTTAGAGCGATACTAGCTTTTGAAACCGGATTTATATTATGCCGCATCACACCTTCTGTGCCTTAGGAAGCAGCAGCCCAGCAAATCGTAGCTCTACAGTAGCAAAAGTGGATCCTTGGTACCCATTGTACAGCCGCGGGGCCTAGCACGGCCAGTACTAGCTGTGAGACCCACTATAATCGTAATTCCTACCTCTAGAGGCCGCGCTGCTGACCTCATTGCTCAACTGTCACTCTCCTCTCTTCAATCACCTATGTATCCACACTTATGTATCCACTATTTAAGTGGTAAAATAGTGCTCATGTTGTCAACTCGTGTGTATTTTCATTTTGCGGTCCCTGTTTTTTTGCACCGCCTGGCTGTAATAGTATCAAGTTGCATAGTTAAGATTTCTCCAGCCAGGCGAGGCGGTGGCTTGTCGAAATCGTTATCTTCAGCATGAATCCAGTAACTGTTAAATTCATGTACTCGAACAATGCCCTTTATCGGAATTGCTCTTCCATACTCATCAAGGAGATCACACGGGGCGTATTCGCTTCGTGCTGTCGGGTGTTACGCTAACTGCATCGCATTTCCTAGATACAGCTGCCCTCCAATGTTGATAACCGTGACGGTTGGTGTAGCAACTACTCTTTGGTTGTGTAACTGATAGTCAACCTAGACAGCAAATCTTGCCGACGCCTGCTTGCGAGCCGTCAATTCTAAGATGAAGGTATAACCTCGTTGATTAAATTTCACTTTTCGTGAAAATCCACCAAGAATGGCAGGAAAATGCCGATTTCCAGTCTGTGTTTGGACTGGGTATGTAAGTGTCGTAGAATAACTCTCCCACACTCTCGGGCCAAGGCTAAATCCATCGCGCTTGAAGTTGATATCCAGAGCTTTAATTTTTCTGATGAAACAAACTAGTTCTGGCACGGCCTTTTCGACAAAAATCGACCTGATCCAAACAGGATCTGAAATCCTTACGCACTCATTCTCTGCGGTTGATCGAGAGGGAGCCGTTCTGGGGAGCATTAAACGGATAATTAAATATGTCCGGTTTCTTGAGAGTTGGCCGTTGTGGTGTGTCAGAAGAGCGTATCCGATTGCGTCATCGATTAGATCTCTCCAGATCCTTAATGACGTTTGCAGGCTTTGTAGCGTCAATGTAGAAGTGAGGTTCACAAATGAAAGTTTTCGCTTCTTCATTAGGCGTACAGTTAGAAGCGAAATAGCCGTTCTGTTATAATAAAAGTGCTCCCAAAAATTAACGCACGAACATGTACACAACTGTGTTAATCAGACATTTACGCACATGGTACTTGAAGCAGTCGTGGAACAATTATGAAACCGGATGTACATTATGCTAAGACGAAATTTGTACCCGAGGCAGTAATGTATTAGCAAAATGGTAGCCCTGCAAATGTCTACGAGGCAGTATCTCTAGAACCTACGCTGTCTAAATGGCACCGAATCTTGCTCTTAGCCAACAATATCTGATAGATAATGCAATCATCTCGAAGCGGGTGGCAATGCGCCTGCCTATGATAAACTAGCCAGGATAAGCTCCTCGACTGCCCGCACGGTACGCCGCCGCCGATCGAACCAAGTTCGCTTTGGAATAACGAAAGCACTATCGAACGGTATCGGCCGACCTAGAACTGTTAACCCTAATATGCTGGTGCATTGTGCGACAAGCTTGTAGATTCTTTATATGCGTTTGAAGGATATAGTTGCGTTTCTCCGCGAGGAGTTTAATGCAGATATGACTCGTTTCAGCGTGCGTACAGCTTTAAAAGAGCGCGTAGATTATACAAAGAAGATTACGAAGAATGTTACTAAGGAGTGTAACCTAACTTAAGAGCCGATCATATATATGAGGGATTATTCTATAATTCCTGCTTACTAAACTATATAGATAAAGGTAGGTGTAATAAAAGTATTAATATTAAATTAAAGGATAGTCTAAGAAAGGCATCACTCCAGTATAAATCAAGCAATTACACTATAGCCAGAGGTACTAAATCCTCCCTGCATCCATCTAAAATAAAATTATATACTTTAAGATATTTAAAGGCTTGACTAATAGCAAGAAACTTAAGGAATTTCTTAAGCAGCTCCTACTATACTATAGCAGGTGGCTTAAGCCGAGACCCATTTTAGTTATTAACAATGCCTCCCATCCATCACTTAAAGAGGGTTTAGCAGCTCTGCAAGGACGTAGGAGTAGTATTACTCTATTTGCCATTATACTCCCCTGACCCAATTAAGAAGTTCCTCGGTAAGCTAAAAAGGTACATTCAGGAGGTCTGGGATAAATTTAATGAGTTCATAAAAGAGGACTTCGCAGCTTTACTCGGGGAAGCCGTTCGTCTTGTAGGAAAGAGAAAGGAAAGCGCCAATAGTCACTTTGAACACTCTAGGACTTCTATTGAAACCTCAATTCGAAGTACTCTTAGTTGTTATTGCTTTGCAGTGCGCATGCCAAAAATACCTTCAATTACAGGCTAAGAATATGATATTTGGTCGGGAAAGAGTTTTAGCGGATTCTATTCGCTTATAAGCCACACAAGCAGTAACAATAATTTCAGACCTACCTCAACATTCATGTGGCCAATGTATCCAGAATCTAACGCAAGCCAATAAAACGAGGCATTCGCCAGTGACGCGTGCATCTTCTGCTGACTTATACGATAGGCCGTTGACGGTACGTTAGCTCTTTGGGTGGAAATTTCCACCGTTTAAGGTTTGCTTTTACGGAGAGGGTGGGGAGACGGTCCTGCCCACCTGTTGTCAGTAGTATAAGAATATGCCAACCCTATTATCATTCTGTAACCTAAAACGTCCGAAAATCGCCAATATGTCCTCACGCCTAGAATGGACATATAATACGTGCCTCAGCTGTGATGCCTTGACAGATGGTTCGACTTACTGCTCAGAATCCTGTCGACTGTCGGAAGATAATAAAGCAATGGAGAGGGTTCATAACCTGAGCTTGTCTTCCACAAGGCCCGAGACGTCTTCGACTGCCAGCCCGAGAAGGACGATTTCAGCCTTGGCTGAGCGAGAATTGAGAACGTATAATATGTCATTGGATCAGTCGAAGATGCAGAGGAGCGCATCGCGTTGATATATCGCTAGAGGTATCTAAGACTGTACCAGTTCGTTGGAGAGTTCATATATATTAAAAGAACATTCGCAGCAGCTGAGAATATCAGTGCGAAGCAGGATGGTTTAATTACGGATCTGCGGGCAGATTCTATGAGACTCTGTTATATCAGGCTCTTGAATAGACAATCGTAGGAGGATCAAAACCATAATACCAACTCACGCTCGAGAATGTTAAACATCTTGTCACTTGCCAAGCAACGATAATTGGGTTCCCGAAAAACGACTCCACTCCCGGCTGGCTGGGGGTCTCATGCACGACGGCCCTATGTAGCTTTTGCAGAAGAAATGAGCTCCTCAAACAGAAAATAAATGTTATCGGCTGAAATGCGTAGTCGGACTGTGACTTGATCGGAATTGTACAGTTTGTCAAGCGATTGACAAAGCGGATACTGGACTGTGGCGCATAACAGGCGCCTCCAACACAAGAAAGCTCACCCATGGTCAGTCGAATGACCCCGCAGGCTTATTGCACACGACCTGGCTTAATACATACACCTGCTGACTAGACCTATACCTATTGCGAACTTGAGCTGTAAAACCACAACAATAAATAAGTATGGCGCGAATAATGTTTCCGGTAAGTTTAATCTTCGACGAAAGCGATCAAGTGTCTGACTCTGATTAGCGGTGGACTACTCGGATTGCAATCTTGCATATTGCTAGACTACAACACTTCCTCCGCTCTTTCGGCGCTGAAAGAAAGAGCCATAGGCCAACGAAGAAGAGTGACTTGCAATCACTTCCGAAGGGCAATATGACCCCAAAAACAGCAGGTAGGAGTACAAGGCCATACGATCGGGGCTTCCAGCAACACCTGATCGATTACGGCATATTACCTCATGCTTATGAGTTCCCAGACGGTCGACTACCGTCAGAGCCTGGGAATAAGGAAGATATACTGCGGGCTCTGGCCCAACCCAGAGCATCGCTCTCTCCGTCCCATTTCTTAAGCCATGACTTCCGCAAGTTCCAACGAGTAGAAGCGCAAGCAATGAAGGAGAGAGACATTACGACAAGCGTCGTCCCTATTATTGAAGGAATATTGGAGATAAAAAGTGTGTCTCCGGTGAGATTCGCGAATCTTGACCATCTAACGGACGGTACACTTGTGCCAGGCAGCCCGGATATATATTATGGTGCGCGTCCAGAACAGCTCCACCCGCAAATTCGCAAGTCATTGCAGGGCTGTGTTGTCCCCTCGACTCAGAATGACCTCCCTGTTGCGCCGAATTTTTTCGTGGAAATAAAGGGGAAGGACGGGTCTGCAGCTGTAGCTCAACGACAGCTATTTTACGATATGTCCCTTGGAGAAAGAGGCCAACAGGCTCTTCGATCGCGTAACCCTGTCTATTCTTCATACGATAATGAAGCTCATACTGTCGGTTGTACGTATGCGGATGGACAATTAAAAATCTTCGCCTGCCATGCAAATCTATCCCCAATGCCTGGTGGGCAAATAGGCTTTGTCATGACACAGCTTAGAGCTTTTGCTCTAAGCAACGATGTCGATACGTTTCGGCAAGGAGCCGCAGCATATCGTAATAGTAGGGACTTGGCAATGAAGCAAAGAAATGAGCAATTGGGCAATCAAATGAGAGAGTATGCTGGGATGAAGTCATTACGTTCTGTGCAGCCTATATGTTGTTGCGGCTCAAGCGCTTTTGGTCCACAGCTGCATCGAAATTGCAGCGGAGGGATTGACATCTTGGGATATAGCTGGGAATGCCAAAAAGACCCTGTACAACAGCATGATGATAAATAATGACATTTCCCGCCGTGCATGGTGGAACATGTGTGACAAAAAAGGTCCAATTCGCTGGCTGCCTCTCGACTTAAAGTAATGACTAGAAAATGGTTCATACTTATCCTAGACAAATTGCCTAACAAGCCCTTCCAGAGCCGCTACCAAAAGGAAATAAAAAATCTTCAATGACTACAAGAAATAGTAATAAGTCAAAAACTGAAGAAGGCATCTTGAGGATATTAGAAACCCGTATGGCGGAAAACATCCTGATTAGAATGGCCAATATCTTAGGAGGATGTTAAGCCGCTATTCACATCACCCAAGGTGATAAAATTATCATGGAGACTAACCTCGCGCTCTAGACGGTGCTGAAATATTGTGACTGCTTGACGTCACTAGCCGGGATGTCGACGACCCCGCACAAACTTCCCCACCCAAGGTATCACTGACTGTATGTGCAATGCTTCTTGTGCTCAACCCAATGTATTTCTATCCATATAGTCGTGACATTTGACGTCGTATGTTAATTTGTCGTATTCTATTCGAAACCATAGATGTGGCTGATATTTCTAGCTGTACGAGAATCTATCGTCATTATCCTAAGGTCACAATGTTGCTCGCTCTCGCGCTTATCAGCCTTGTTGCCGTCGTACTGGTGCTTGCCTTCGTACCTTCCTCTATTGTTCGCCAGCAAACAAAGGGCCAAGTTCCTGTTTCTGTGAACTACTTTTTTACACGCCAGTGTAACAAGTCATGTAAGTTGCTCGAATGCTCACCTTGAACGCTTTAAGTAGGTGCGCTGCTTCTCGATAATCTAACCCGCCAACGTGTGGGATTTTGGTCGGAACTCTTCACGGACGTTTGTGCCTAGCTTAGGAATACGCTAATTCGACCTATTAAGGCGGCTTCTGCTTTCATACAGCAAAGAATTCGCACATGGAAGACATCTCCCGTGCAAAGCGGGGTCTTCAACTATTACAACAAGCTGGCATGAAGAAGATCAACTTCGCGGGGGGAGAGCCCTTCCTTTACCCAAAATTTTTGGGCGAACTGGTTGACTTCTGTAAGGAGGACCTACACTTGGAGTCTGTATCCATCATCACCAATGGAAGCCTTGTTAGAGAGGAGTGGGTTCGTAAGCATGCCAAGAATATTGATATATTAGCATGTTCATGCGACTCTTTTGATGAGAACACGAATATCAAGATTGGCCGTGGGACAGGAAACCAAGTTGAAATTCTGTACCGGATTGCTAAGTGGTGCCGCGAGAGCGAGATCAAGTTTAAGTTGAATACCGTGGTTACTCGCCTCAACTATGAGGAGGATATGAATGAGCACATCGATACTCTACAACCTTTCCGGTGGAAAGTCTTTCAAGTGCTAGTCGTGGAGGGCGAGGTAAGTTGATGTTTTGATTTCTATCAATTTTCGCAAGGTATCTTTCTTAACCAAGCATAATTGCTAAGACAGGAGATAGAACGACTCGGAGAAAACGCTGCGTGACGCTCGAAGGTTTACCATTTCGGATAAGCAGTTCGAAGTTTTCTGCAGCAAGCACAATCATCACAAATCATTCGTCGCAGAACCCAACCGTCTCATGGCCTCGTCGTATCTACTAGTAGATGAATACATGCGATTCATCGACAAGGACGGTAATAAACTCACTAAATCCATTCTGGACGTTGGAGTTGAGGCGGCCATGAAGGAGATCAAGTGGGATGTGGATGCTTTCCAGGAACGGGGAGGCGTATATAAATGGACTAAGGAAAATGGGCAAGGGGAAGCTTGCTCTACGGGCATGAGCGAAAAGTTAATCTGGTGAAGACGAAGTCATTGTTCCGCACATTTACCGTAAAATTCGAAATGGATTGCGGACTTTACTCGTTAAGGCTTTAGTAACGTCCATTTTAACCCTTTGTAGGTCTACTATGGTATTATACTAGCTCGTACTCTAGTACTGAAGCAACCTTTGAAACCTCTACACCATTATTATGATCACAGATTACACTTAGACTTACATACATAGTTAAGCTACATATAACAGATATAGATATACGTCCCATGTATTGCCATAGCACATCAACCTACTTAATTATTCAGCCCATTTCCTTTCCAACTCTTTCCTTTACGCTCTCTATAGACAAAAAAGGCTTTCTAGAAGCTAATCATAGCAACGCCCTGGAGGCAGCAAATCGTAGTCTAATAAAATTATACTAGGCTAAAATGCGAAATGGGTGTTGCAGGCCTTGTATGTACCCATTGAGCTGCTTAAGGTGAATAAAAAAGCCAACTTAAGATAATAATGATTGGGCTATCTGGCAGTAGACGCTGCTATTGGTAGCGACTTATGAAGTCTGGGTAAAGTAGGTGCTCACAAACCCCAACGTCATTGAGTACCTAGTCTAGGTGTTTACCTATTAGTCACCGTACCTAGCCCCACACTCATTCTATTTTTATTCCTCCGTTGGCTGAATTCTTATTAGGTACCTACTTGAATTATAGGCTTATGACACTCAATGACCCCACCTGCAATACATTCGTTCATTCATTCATTCATTCATTTATTACGCCCGGTGGACCTGCAATATATAAAGCAGCACATTGATTTCTTTTCTTACAGTTGATTTAAAATTCTATACATAGTCTATTTTCCATATCAACTCCGCCCCTCCATCAGCACCTTAACCAGCCTTGTCCCTCCAAAGTGTTCATTCTCTTTTAATTATATTGCTAAGGTACGCCATGGCTTCTGGTACTCCCTGGAACTTTCGGGATCTTGACCCCTAATTCAAGCAATATTACTTCATTTCCTACAACCCTACACCACTATAGCCCTAGTCAGAACCTTGCAGAACACAACTACTACCATTCAGCGCAAGCTTTTTGCCATAACCACAAGGCTATTGTATACAAGAATGGCCTAGTATATCCAGCCGTAAATGGCAACAATTGTACGTTTACCCTTTATTAAGTGCAAACCGCTGACAGGTATAGTCAGCAACAAACGGGGCAGTTATATATACCGACTTTATCATACAAAAATTTGCCCGCGCGTGGATTGAAATGGATATTTTTAGTAAGAAAGGAAGCTGTAAAACAGGGAAATAATACATCTACACTATCCCAAAAGGTAAATCATTCACCCATGCCTGCATAGAGTGCAGATATTAATAAAATATAAACCAGGAACTACAATTCCCAGCCACCTAATTCTAATCCAAGAGTGGGTCAACTCCAGATTTTCACTTCAGCCAGCACATGGTATACCTCTCACATGTCGCAATGTTCATTCACTCGAAATCGACGCTGTAGCTAACCTCAACTTGTATTTAAACCAAGCGTTGGGCGAGTTCTATAACAAGCACGCCATCAGGATGAAAGTTCGCAAGTGATTAAATCAAACCCGTGCCAAAAAGACCTCGAAGGCGAAGCTGAGAAGAAGTGGATGAAAAGGTGGATGGGAATAAGAAACATCAGGCAAGGTCGCTGAAGGGGTTTATAGTAACGTGGCCAGAAATGCGGTAAAAAATGTTCCTTATTCAAGGAGCTCGTAGTCTTACATTATGTATATTTCTCTATGATTTAACTGGAGAGGTGCTGCATCGCGCCCTGAAAGAGCTAGAGAGTCCAGTCACCAACCCTAACCCTAATGAACCAATAAAGTACAATAGCTTTTCAGCACGAATGGCTTGCATTACCTTCCCGATAATACTACATTCTCTTTAATTAAGGGGGGCACGACGCGGCGGTTTCTACGACGGCTCCTCCAATTAAGACTATTGTAATTATTGTAAATTGAAGATTTTGTTTTACTTAGCCCAAGCGATATTGTACAGTAAAAGGCGAAATGAGTGTCGCGAATCTTAATTATAATAAGCCAGCATTTAATGTAACTGTGGCTGGTTTAGTACAGCGCTAGGGCGCGCCCGGGCATTGTATTGCCAAAGTACTAGACGTACCTAGAACATTACTGTAACCAACAGAGCTAAAACAGAAATGTATCTATTAATGAATGTCCAAAAAGTGATTTTTTTCCACCAGTTACCATTTTGCGGATTGTACTAGTACTTACAAAGTACAAAAACGACAGGAGTATTAAGCCACAATCCAATTAAAATGGACCCTTTTTATAATCTTTATCTAGTTAATTCGCGACACCCATTTCGCCTTTGACTGTATTATTTGTGTATATACCTAAGTGTTCTAGTTAATACTGAATTAATTTAAAGCTAATTGCGTGCTTCTGTTATAGTTAAAAGCACTATATTAGAAGCGGGGTTGGTTATTAATTGTAGGCCAACTAGTGCGGGGTAAATTACTGCGAATAGTTCAATTGATTGTAAATGCTGTAGACTCATCCAGGCTTTGCATACAGCAGAGCAGGCCGCCACATTCATTACTTCTTCCCTTCAGCAACAATAGGCCGCACCTGCGCTACTTACAACCGCAGCCTCCCTCAGTCATTATATACGCCTAATTAATATCGTAAGGACCCCGGCGTGTTACAATGTATTTAGAAATAGCCGATAAGTTCAATTAGTTAAACATTATTAATAAAGCTATAAAAGTCGACATTCCTTAAGCATAGTATTTTACAGACGAAAGTTTTAATAAATGGTCTAGCTAGAGATTTCTCTGCAAGCCTTTTATCCGAAACTATCAAAAGTTTAATAGCAATACTGGGTTGAACAACAGTTCTATAGCATGGGGAGAAGCAATGCAAGTTCTTAGCTACTTTAGCTACTACATTACAAGGGGGAATTATATTCTGTGAGACCTCTAAGGTGGGATTTATTAAATGCAAGACTGTCCTCTCTAATCCCGTTACCCTATTGCGGAATTGTGATGATGGCGTACTGATCTTGGTTCTGCTGGTATTGGCTTATTTTTCAGTCAGTATAACTGCAGTGTCTATTGCCGTCTAGAGTGAACTAAACCCACTAAGCCGATACTATACTATAACCTAGTTCAGGGTACAACTATAGTCAGGCATACTGTACCTACGCGTCCTTCACCACCTTAAGTAACAAGAATTTTTTGGCTAGCAGGTTCGGGCACTGGGAGTAATTCTGGTCTTTTACCAGAACTTACTAAAATATACAGGAGCGAGCATGGAAATAAAGAAACAAGTTCAAATTGTCAGCATTCAGCTATGGTCCTTAATACTTATTGCTTAGAAGGACCGTGAGGAGCACCAGCAGGTGGTTTTTAATTTTATGAGAACCACTATTGGCTAACCAAGTGTTCAACTTACTTGCGATATTTTAGGTCAAGGAGCAGCTTTTTTCAAGTTTCAAAAGCCATCCGCTAAAAAAACTCAGATTTTATTCCTGCACTAAAGAATATATGCTCCGACTTAATGCAGCGTATAGTGGAAGAGGAGGAGGGAGGATCTTCCGAAGTTAGAACCCGTTTCCGTAGAAGAGTCAGCATCTTTCCAATAGCTTTCAAAGTACAAAGAAGTTTGTGCCTTACCCCAGCCACTCTTCTGCTCCAGAAAAGCCGCCCTTTGAAACGGTGGTTGGGCTAGTCTCTGCGCCGCTAGATAATCTGATGGATGCATTCAAGGAGTTCCCCAAAAGATTAAATTGATCAGTATGAGAGATCATGGTAGGGTGGTGTCGCTCTCCGTTCAGTGAGGTTTCCTGTTTCGAGGAAATACCGCTATGATAGTGAATAGGTTGACTGAGTATCTTATCTACTAAATCTATGGAGTCTCTGTAGGCATATATTATGTGCAGCGTATACTGAACTACTCGGCTGATACGCGCTAGGTCACTATCCATTAATCACCGGCCTCAAGGCAAGATTGGTGTGAGAATACCAAAATGGATTCTATCCCTTGGGCTGAATACCTTCGTTAGTATGTTACCTTATTAATATTACGACAATCTATAAGGGCCAAGAATGCCAGTTAGGCGGTTGCACGAAATGGCAATCACGGGAATAGTATTTAGTGCTACTGTCTCCATAGAATCACAGTACTGTTACTTAGAGCCGCCCTTCCGACCAGCCTCCCGGGCCCGCTCGCTACCTGGCTCAAAGGAACCGCTTGAAGTTTGGCCGCCCTTGGATGCAATTTCGCGCTGACATCGGTTAGCGCTCTGAGTTGGATACTCTGTGAATATGAGCACGCACCTGCTTGTCTGGATCCATGTTGGCGAAGCCACTGTTGTGACTGGCTTGACCACCTTTGGAACCAATTTCCTGAACCTCCTCCTTCGGTCTTGAAGTCGAGTATGATGCATTAGTCAAACGGTATTTCATTACGATTGAGAACTCAAAAATCCACCTACCGGTTGGCAAAATTTCCCGGATTCTGGTTGTTAGACATAATTACGGAAGTATACTAATTTTCGTTTTCGCAATCTTCTTACTCAGGATGAACTTGGAGGAGTTGGGTGATTGGTTGTAGGAATTAGATGTCTTTTAAGTATTGTTTGCAGCTATGATGATGTGTTTGCCGTTTAAAAGCCCCCGACGCTTATAAACGTAACGATGACCCAAAGTGGCGTATTTTTTTAGGAAATCATCACTTCCTGATGTCGGTAGATAAAGAACTGCGCTCAAGCGTAACGATGTCATTCTTACCTGTTTTATTTCTGAGATTGTAAGTCTCGCAATTATCAGTCATGATGACGAATGTGTGTAACCGCAATTTTTGGGTATCTATCCGGAGCCAGCCATAGGCAATGTAGACATAGACGACATAGCAAATGACGTATTAGAAGAGCTGTTGCCAACAACTATCCTCATCATACATTAGAATCATACGAATTCCGCATAACAAGCGACTCCGAACCTGGACTATTCAACACCTCGGATTTCGATCTAGCACCGATATACGACCAGGCATCATGTCATCTACACCCGCGCCAATATCAACGCTACTTCAGGCACTAGTCCAACAACTGGTGCCAGTGACTCAAAGCCCAAGATGTTCGATAAAGACGCCGTTGGCAAGCAATTCACAGGTATCTACCGCGTGGGTTTGTTGTCTGATGCGTCTATGCATTCATCTGCAAATACTCTTGAATTTGAGACTTACTTGTCGATTATTACGAACCAGAGCAAGGCACGATAGGAGAATAGTGAGGGTCTTCTTGATAAGGAGGGAGTTGGCAAACAATTCACAACGGAGGGGCTATTGGAGGTACAGTTGAGGCAGTGATGGGCAGACAGAAGCGTATGTGAGTTCTACTACTAGTTACTAGTTATTTAGTCATATACACTACCCTCAAGTGATGACTAGCATGTTCCTTAAGTAGGTAAGGCTAGAGTATGAAATCAGGTTTTGTTGCGCTAATGCTTGCTGATACCTACCAACAGGCCAAATACGCAGGTAGAAAAACAGATAAATTTTGACTATTTGATTCGAAGAGGACATGGCTCCCTGTATGGTGGCAGTGCACGAGCGAACCCTATTCACACAACACAGGGGTCCAATGCGCCTCTAAATATCCCTATTCGGCGCTCAACATTTCCTCATCCCCCGGCTCCTGATATGAACCTCTTGGCTTTGAACCTCGAGTACGTTCATCAATAATGTTAGCCTTTTCAATAGCCTCCCTATCGTCCTGCTCTGCGTTATGTTAGCCCATAAATCCTATGTTCTCCGGCACACACCGTGCTAGTCACGAATGATGTAGTATGTAGTATGTAGTTTTACCCAATTGTTCATCAGAGTCGGCTGATGATGTCTTTACCGGATCTTCGACCCGCTCATTGTCGCCTTGCACCGGGACTGACTCGTTTTTCTGGCTTGTTACGTACGAATCGTCTTGCAGTTTTCCCTCTATGTCGCTGTCCGGTATATAGTTGGCCTTATTATTAGACATTGGGATTAATGCTGTGAGACTTGAGAAATTCGGCGTCAAAAAGAAAAAGAATTTTTGATGCACGTACGCACAATGCTGACGGCAAACGAAGGTAAAGGCTACAGTTATAGGACTTTTCAGATAAGCTGGACTTTCACAACGGTAGTGGTGATGCCAAGAGGGCGCGTTTCAGGATATGTTGTGCGTCACGAGGCGAGAAGCTTCCCACAAACACGGCTTGAGTTTTTGAATGATTCTGTTGGGACATCATTTCGCCGTGTTGGTGACCACATAATGTGCTACGACGAAATGCACGAGTCATAAGGCTAGTTGCGTGACAATTATATTGCCCGATCAACATAAACCAGAACTGCTCTCTGAGCCTCGACGGTTTGTCCCTTGGGAATACGCACCTTTACTAACCTTTAGGTGCACGGTTCGTCAACAATGCGTAAACTAAATAATAATGCCGGCATGTTAACGCGGCTGGGTTACATCAACCAATTATGTCCCTGGGTGACAGTATTTTAATCATCCCAAATTTCTCTTCCCACTTATTTGATTTCCGTACCAAGAGGAGGGAGGAGATTCCCTTCGCAAATTCTATGCATTCCATTCGCCGACTAAAATCCGTTCCGCTGGAATGCTCTAGCTAAATGCAATGGATTTTTATTGCCCATCGCGCTTTGTAATCCGTGCTTAGTACTAGTAAATCATATATCTACATATTTAAGGCTTCCCAATTCCAATAGCTGCTATCTCGCGTATCGCGTCAAGGTTATACTGTACATGGCCGTGGCAACCTAATGACTTGAGCTGGGTGACTCGGCACCGTTGGCAAATTAGTTTGGAGATGAGACATGCACCATAACAAGCCACAAACTCTAATTAATTGTTGCCTGCAGCTATCTTCGACCGAGACTATAGCTCTCGCAATCTATTCATGCCATTCCTTCGTTACAGCAAGCCACGCTGTGGGACAAGGACTCTAGGGAGATGTGGTATACATTATGGATATAAGGGCAGATTGGTAGTCAGCTATATGATGATTCCCATAATCAAGAGGCCTCACACGGATTAGCTCAACAACTTGGAGATCTCGATAGAAAATGCCGAGCGCCCTTCTTATTAATCGTATTAAGGACGACACGTCAATGCGGCAACGACCAACTTGCTATGTCGACTACTTCTCCCACGATTGGCATTACGAGGCCATTCAGCGATCCTGGAGCTATATCGTGGCAAATACAAAAGAATTCGATATGCAGCTCGATTAGAAAATGCGTCTTTAAGAATATGGATGAAACTACTAAACGATCTGAAAACCATACCGCCTGAGGCCCTGAATTGGTAAGCGAAGATAATGTCATATGAATGATGCTCTAACCAGTTCAAGGTTGAAAGAATGTGATGATACGTGGCTTTATGGGCCTTTACAGCCAATTGATGGTGCTTCAGAATCATGGGATAATATTACCTCAGATTCGTCTGGTAAAAGGCCTAGCCTGAAAAAGAGGAGCACACTAGAGACCATGTTTCAGGAATATTACTACTCCACGTCAGGAAGCTGGGTAATCAGGGGTAACGGAGAGACACAAACAGCTACGAATAGACGAGCCGCAGGTAGACTGTTCCGTCTCTTGCCATCTTCAATTTTGAGACTTCTATCCGTTAGTGGGGAAGATAAATATGTCCGTTTTAGTGAAGAAGTCACAATATATTCATATATCTAGACATTAAGAAAAATTGCCAAAGAACTACTTCCAGACGTCATCACTAAGGTAGCTTGGGCCCCGGGCCACAAAGACATACACGGCAACGAGACAGCAGACGCACTCGCCAAAGGAGGGTCAGAACTCCCGAAACCCCCCTCCATCTGCCCCACGATTACCCGCATCAAAAGGTGAGGCAGGAAGAGGAAAAAGGAACTACAAGAAGAGGACTGGGAGGCCAACCGCCCCCTATACTACAAACGCTGGCGTCTTGGCGCACCACCGAAGCCCCCAGAGCTGCAGCTTTCAAGGCCCACCCTACACAGGCTCCTGGCCGAAAGAAGTGGACACGGGGACTTGATCGAATACCACGAAAGATGCGGTCATGACTCAAAACCTCTCTGAAAATGCGGGGAGCCCAGAACCCAAGGACACTTCACGAAGCGAAAAACGGTCGAGCCCTTCATCCCGGACGTCCCCGAAAAGGATCTCCGCGAAGGGTACACATCACTAACCTACCTTCTAGGACCTAAAGGCTACAAAGAATTTCGGAAATTAGTGGAGGAAACCAGCCCTTACGGCACTATTCCTCGGTTTTGTACAATGCAAATCTATCAGCCGCAATGCCATACTCATCGCGATCAACATTGATTGTCAAGGGGTCCTCCTGGGATCGATAGGATGCTGTAACAGCTAGGCTATATAATTCTGCGGCTAGCCCCCTTATTTAGTTCCTTTTAAGATAGAATGAAGAGCCTTATTTTACCTCTAGCTATAGCTAGTCATTCTTTCATTCTTTATGCTGTATGTGGTTCATTCGTCCAATTGACTACTATTGCGTGATAAAACCATATAACCCATATAAAGAACATATCACTTTCGGCGTATCAAATCGCCGGATCAACACAAAAACAGAGATCAATAACACATGATAATCTCCATCATCTAATTTGGCTCATCATACAGTAACACTACTCAAAATAACCACTGGTACTGTCTGTACTGAACTTGCTTCAGTCATATGATCGTTCAAAAGACTACCACAACCTAACCATCACTTGTCGGTATCAATTATGGACCGGCTTACGACCTTTTTTTTTGAACATAACATCATAGGCATCCCCCAATTGGCTCAGAAAAGAATTCTAATGCCTCAGCGGCATCCTGCTGGTTTCCCACATAATTCCCTTTAATATTAAGCATAATGACAGTATCGAATATTGGCGCCTGAAGGCACGAATTACCTGGCATACACCAATGCATACAACAGTGCCATGAGAGCACACATAAAAGTCGCCTGATGGAATGGCTCTTCGTGTGTCACCAGCACCAAAACAGCATGGGGGCCCAAGCCGGCAACTCAATACACACGAGGGTGTTAGAAAAGCGAGAGAACGGACCGACATACCGTCGAATCGCGTAAAGGAGAGAGTAACTGTATATATATATATATATATATATTTACTCGGAACATTCACATCAGGATAGCATCATTCTCTCATTTTAGAGAGGTAAGGGCGTCGCCACATTAGTGGGTGATTGACGCGCGTTATATAGTCCAAGCCCCCCGCGTTTACGAAATTGTCATGCTTCGGCATATTTAAGAGGCATGTATTATGCATATTATGTATGTTTATGTTACAGTAACTATTGATAGAGGAAAAGAGGAAGTAAAGAACAGAGATTCAGCCAAGAAGCCCAATACTCTTTAAGAATTTACTTTAGGACAGCCCGGCTAAAGGTAAAAATCTTACTGGGTGGAGCGCTGCCTTGCCATTTATAAATTAAAGACTTAAAAGATTTTACAAGCACACTGCACTTTATTCCAGTTTATAACAATCTGCCCTTAATAACTTTTGAAACTATAAATTAATTATATATTAGGCATTAGTTAATTATTTTATTAAGACCGGCGGCTGTTAATAATAAAGACTAGCCTAATAAGCAGGCTACGAGACGGAATTCTCCTAAGACTTTAGGTGATGATCTAAGGCAGGATCTGCTAGATAAACCAGTCTGCCGAACAGCAAGCCAAGAAAGAGAGCAGAAAACCTTACGAATCCAGAGGTTCCAGGTTTAACAGGAGGGACCGTGACAAAAGGAGGTTCTCAACATACCACGCATTAATGTAACAGAAGTGTTTAGTCGGATTGGTTCAAGGGGTGTTCCTTGTTGTCCCAACTTAAAGCCTCACAAACAAACGATTAGGTCCGTCGTGCTTCAATCTCTCGTCATCCTGTCAGCCATAGCACGTGGCTCCAATCATCTTAGAGGACCGTGTGAAGAGCATAGATAAGAAAGCTGGCGCCATACTTGGGAAAACCATGGCGGCATCTACACCAGACATATCTGCATCTATACAAATTGAGGTTGGAGAGGCCAAGCATCAAGTGGAGCTTAGCAATTTGTGACCAACTATCTAGGAGCATGAACCATCTGCGACAAATTCTATTGGTAGCACCGGCGCCAGCGCTTAATGAGTTTTGTACCCGATAAAATCATTCATGGCCTATCTGATATGACTGTAAAATTGAAACACTAATATGAGGGGCTATTCTCCAATCAATTGATAGAAAAATTGAAGACTCCAACCTTATCCCCGGGAGAAGCCGCAGGTATTGCAAGGTTAGGGGACAAGTGGGAGATAATCTCCAGTTCCATTAACTCCATTCCTGCATGCAGCAGCAGGTGTTTCTGGTGTTGGTGGAAGCTTTTATTAGGTATAGTCATACTAGCCTCTTAATCGCGCACGGACGAAAAGTGTGTAATTCACCGATTACGGCGTCCACTTGGTACAGTAGGCCTACTTGCGCCGATCACACAGAGACAAGTGTTAACGGACGGAATCCTCATCCGTCCCAAGCCTCAATTGGCCATGAACATGGGAGTTGTAAGAGGCTAGAGCATCGTCATTTCTCAGCGATTAATAGCGCATCACGTGTCATTGAGGGAAACTCTGAGGGCGGAGAAACTTCCCAAATCCATATTCGCTTTACGACAGTTTTACGCCACTATGACATATTATACTAACCAAGTTGACTCTCAACAGCACCTGTTGAAGGCCACAGCCATATTAATTGGCGTCAGAGTTTCAGGTATGAAGTAATGCATGAGCTAGAGTTCAGCGTGCAAATGAAGCGCATGTAGTCTGATGGCAAAATCTCTGCGATGGTTGGCAGGAAGCGAGATGATTAGCTTTGCTTTGCTAACTGCAATGAATTTCCCTCCGCTATTCATCTAACAATGAGTGAAAAACCCAGTGACATACAGATAGAGAATTCTTCAATCATTAGGCTGCACAACTATGATGCACAGAAAAGCTGTCAGCGCCCTTCCTCGCATGTGCTCTGTGTTCCTGTTCTAGTTCGTGATCTCTCGCCCAAGTCTGTCCGCCCAAAATTGTGGCTCGCCGATCGAACCATACCAAAACTCTAAAGGAAGACGGACTATATGATCGAACGTACTAGTGGCCATGCTCAAAAGACGTTTAAAAACTCAAGAAAGCCAATATCTCGTCTAGCGAAGGTGGTAGTCATCTGTTTCGCCTTGCTTTTCCATTGTGACATCAATGAAAAGACTTCCTGAGGGACGGGGGCGTAAATCGTGCGATTGCTGTCCATTGTATACTACTGAAGAGCGCCATGGCTTTATGGATTCAAATCTTGCGACTAAGCTGCGTAAATTATCACTTGAACAATAATCCCTCAAATTTGAAACACAACAGAGAAGCTTGAGTGTGGTTTCGATATGAGAAAAGGGAAGTTGGCGTATCAAAATGTAAAAGTGTTCTATTTCGATCGAAGTAAATCCGGTCTCAACTTCGTTTCGTGCCGGCTCAGTGCATTTGGCTGATTCCGCATATTAACAAAGCACTTTGGCGGACTTGTGAACAGAAACTGAAAGGGTTGTTTCCTATGGTTTGTATAGCTATTTGACTTATTCATCTGCGAGGAGTTTGTTTACAAAAACTGCAGTGTGTGCAGCCGCCGTGATGCCTGACCAAACCAGCCCGAAAAGATACTCAGCTAGGATTACGACCTGGAGAAGGGAAGATTTGACCGTCAAGCATGATCGAAGAGTCTACCTATGCATCAAGAGGAAGCGACTGATTGACCTTTTGTAGGAGGTAGACCTATGCATAGCGTCTGCAACAATGATCGAAGCGGGATGCCATTACAGTACAGAAACACATAGTCAAATTCTATACATTGGAAGGACTGGTGACTTCTTTTTTTTTTGCAGCATCAAGCCTGTATCCGTGGCAGCACACTCAGACAATCATAAATACATGTTCACTTCTGAGGCATGGCGAGGTCAGGAATGGTCAACAATGAGACACAGAATGTAGGGGACTTTACATACTTTGCATGCGCAAATATCAAACACGGTAACCAAGTAATAAGAGTCATTTATAGATTTTGGAAGAAGTTACTCTTTGGAGCCCTCACCCTTTCCCTGCTTGCCATAGAACGCTTTCTCATCGCCAAGTACCTTCAATTCCTGCTTAGATTGCTTCTTGGACTCATCACTGGTATCTAATTCAACTTAACAATTGGATGAAGGTCCGAGTGGTGATAGAATGAACGAACTGGGATTGGACAAATTCGCTTTATGGCCCCGCGCCTTGTTACTAATTTCTTCGGGTTGCTCGTGCATGCCCTCGAGGGCAGCATCTTTAGTGATATCGCGAGCGTGGTGAGTCATGCTTCAAAAATATTGGCTTTTAGTATTGATAAACGATCGTCCGGATGTTCGAGGAAGAATTAGCTTTCCCATTGTAATATCTTTATCCAGCTTCTTTGTACGGTTACTTATAGTCTACAGGTAGGTCGATGACGAAGCTCATCATTAATTACAATACATCATGGTGATTTATTAGTTACATCAACGACTTGCGACTTGAATATTAATGACCTATTACGTCTCATTATAAGCTACGATGCCCATTGCCAGTCAACCATTATTATTCAAGTAATAAATCGCATCGTCATTAGCCATGCTGTCCCTTCTAACTATATTATTTTAAAGCTTCCAAGAGCAATACAGCTAAAGCTTAACTAACCATGGGAGTCCTGGGCTTATATTTAAGTTCATATCGGGGTATGAACAACGATAACCGCAATGTAATAAATAATTTTTAAATACAAGGATGCAAGATACGGAGTCAGGCAAGGAGCTAAATTCTCCAGGATAATCCTTTAAGCCTTTAGCTCGAGCTATTTGCAAGCAATTTTCTTATTAGTTTGAGAATCCCGAATTATCTCCACTGCTTTCCAAACTAAACATGCTAAGCAGATTGTGAAAAAAAAAATCGCGAGGCTAAAAAAATAATGGATCCATACAAAAGCAGTCAATGAATTATGTGCAGAAGAAGGTAATAATAGAGCTTTTTATATTGCTTTAATATATGTATATATTTATTTTACAGCCTTGGTATTTCTTTTGCAACTTGCTTGTATATATATATACTATTAAATCCCCCTTCCTTGACAATGTTATATTTATATAGTATATATATATTAATAGTTTACTAATAATAGATAAGTTATTATATTAACATACACACTATATTAATAAATAAATACTATTACCTAATATTTGTAATTGTTTATATTAATTTTTTATATTATATATAAATTTCTTAATATTTAAATATACTTTAAAAATCTTAACCTATCTCTCTGCTAATATAAATCCAACTTAAGTTTATTACTTAAGAACTACCCTATACCTAGTATAAACCAAGACATTACAACTTCCTTTAAAGCTATAGTTGCCTAGGTGTTGGATTATAATGGATTGAAGATGATTCCTTTCGACACATTTCTAATTGGCCCTTCGGTCCTATATTGATCCGAAATTGCCCACCTTGCCGGCCCATTGTTGCAACTATAAGAGTCGGGTTGTAACAATATGCGCACGGTGCATATGTTTGTATGGGGAATTGAGATTGGAAAGTAAAGGCGTCCAAGGCGATGTGTTGCATTTAGACTAATCCTTTCTATATTACATATATATTCTACTGACTATAAATTAGTGTTTGAAGTTTTAGAGTTTTCCACTAAACTTGAGAGCCTAAGACCAGGGCCATGACGATTTCCAAAGCTAGGCATTGATGCACTTTGATCGTGGATTTTGGTTACTTCTTGAGAGTTCTGTATCGCTTGCTCCGAAAAGCGGTCAATGGTTCTTTGGTAGCTTTCGTCACTTATTTGTCCTCCAATATTGCGTGACCGTCCTGTAAGATTAATGCGCCTGGCGGTTACGAGGTCTCCGATTGTCGAGATAGTAAAGTTGTAGGCATCATCGGCAAGAGTAATATCCTCGAAGACATTGTGTCGCTCAACGGCTCTGGTATCGCCTGCATCCGAGATGACTTGTATGCATTGATGGATGCTAGCTTTCGTCGCGCGTAGTCGCTCAAGCTCCGCGACTGCGTCTTTGGATATAGGATGCGTAGAAGCCATGACCTGCATTCGATTATCGATGTCCTCTTCATGGTTACGCAACTGTGTCACAAGCTTGTGGATAGAACCCTTGGCAGCGTCTAATCCACTTTTGACATATTTATGTGCCGAAGGACGCTCGGAAAATTGATAATTCTCTTCCGGCACTGGTTCCAGCTCCTCGATGCGTTTGGATAGTTGAGCGCAAATTTCGAGACCTTGCTGTGTGCTCATTTTCTCCTCTATCATTGCTTGCCACTCAGTATTGCTCTGGTCAGAATGCGACAGAAGCTGGATTTTTTCATCCAGCCTTTGCAAGTGTTCTTTTAGATCCTGGGTTGTATCCGAAATCATATCCTTGTAATCCTCAAGGACTCTTGGTGTTATAGCAGCTACACGACTGAGATAGCAGGCGGTTAGTCCATAGCGTAGGACAGCGAATTAGCCTGAGTAACACTTACATGTTTGCGTTCGCCAGAGCTATATTTATGGTAGACTTATACCCTGCCAACATGTCCTTAAAATCGGTGATATCTCCTTGGAGATACTTCTGGGTGACCCAATCTCGGACACTCGATCGCGAAGCTGTGGAGCGTCGCGTAAAGCGACAAATAAGCTCTCCATACTCATTGCATGCGTTCCCGCAACGGTGTAAAGGGGCTTTCAGAGCCTCAAAATTAATGTCAGGATTGTTGTTCACAGTCTCCAAGAGTGACTCCAGGACAGTCGTTATATCGCTGAGTTCGGTCTTAAGGGCGCGGGCCTTTTTATCTTGGCTTTGAAAGTTGCGGATTGTCGTATAAAGATTCACGCTGGATGTTAGGGCAAAGGTTACCAACGCAACAATGCCAGATGCTATGCTGAGAGGATCCGCCATTCTCAGCAGTGATTGATGGAATTACGAGTTATTTGTGCAACTCCAGCCAAGAGCAGCCTTTTATGGCCGCAAGCATCAGTACTGTCAAGCGCCAGTACAGCATGCAGCGGGGTAGTTGCAGCGGGGTAGTTGCAGCGGGGTAGTTGCAGCATGCAGCGGGGTGGTTGCAGCCAATTAAGGCCGCCATGTACAATTTTGCAAGGCTGTCGCGCGGCTACCGAGAATTTCATCACACGCCGGTCATTACCCTATTTAAAGACCCGAATCCACTCCGCCAATTAGACAGAATTGCTGCAATTCAATTAACTTCTACAGAGGTTGCTACCAAAAGACTCATCTCACCACCTTTATATTGAAGTGGGTTTTCGTTGAACCCCTGCACCTATCCTTGTAATCTAGATGCCCTATAACTAAAGGATCGCTCGATACCTCTAAAGAGAATTATTTTTAGCGGCCTTAGTGAGAACGATCACTCAAAGTTAGTGGTTAGCTTCTGCCGGAGAAATCAAGCCTCTGGTCCGTGCGACCTCTGTCGTACATACAGTAAGTATTACAAGGAACCCGCGTTTACTAGCTCGGAGAGCGCCTGCGGCTATTATCCTAGAATAGATATTGCAAAAGAGCGGCGGCTGTATGTAAAGTCATGATCTTACCAGGGTCTCTAACAAGTTACCCATAATCAAGTATCTTGCCCAGTGGTTAACTTTTATTTCAGCATAACATATCCTCCACTACAGTCAAACAAGAAGACAAATCGGGATGGGCAATTTATGGAGGCTACCCTGGAGGTCTGTTGCAAACGAGTCAAGCTGTATAGGGTATAAATAATTAAGTTATACTATAACTCGCTGTAAAATAATGGAATATAAAGATTTACTTCTTAGGAATTATTAAACGGATACGAAATGTTGTACCCTTGGCTCTTATGCTAGTTTACTTTAACTGCCTACTATTATTTCATCTCCGCCATTGGCACATTTTTAAAACCCCCAGTCCAAACCCTTGCAATATCTATTGTCTTTGTAAATAATACAAAACAACTATGTTCAGCCTTGCAGAATCTCCATAGTTATGTACCTAACAAGGCGACATAGCTAAAGATGGCCTTGTCCTCAATGTGGTCTCGCCTGAATGCACAATGCGCACGCGAGAATTTAAGCTTCCTCTTCACGAACTCGTAACGCTGAAAAACGGCAGTTTTCTTCATCTTCGTCTTAATCCGCATTTTCTCCGCTAACATTTATGGTAAGCTTTGCAATCTGCGGGAGATATTTGCTCCCGTGAATCATCTAAGCTTGAGACTTCCAGCATGACCTTTGCGCACATCTCAGTGAACTCCTTATCATTCATCTGTCCCGTAGTCGTATACTTGACTCTTAGAACTCTTTCGAACATACGCCGTAGCCCCTCTTCCATCATGCGGTATGATTTCCCATTTTTCTCCATCTCGCACGTTATAGAGCATGATACGTGTTAACCCCAATAAGTAGGCATATGTGCATGCTTGTAAGACATGGCTGTCAGAAAGGTGCGAGACAAACTTAATCTCCCAGATACAATCAGCGCTTCTACTACCGCTGCTGTCTGATTGGGGAGCCACTGCGACAATATCGGCTTAACCTTGAAGGCAGGTTTCATGATCATCAACTCTAACCATTTGCTCGGCTTTAACTTCAAACCGAAGATTTGCGGCGCCATCTCCTAGTTCTCCTGGAATGCGATTCCGGGCTAAGATCAAATCTCTAGGCATCATCCAATCAAATGCGTGATTATTCATCTGAATTTTTCGAGGTAGATAGCCCGAGATGCCAGCCTCATATTCACATGCGAATCGATAAAGCCAAGAGATATACTGTAGTGAACCGATGGGAGTATTGCTTCGATGAAACTTTGGTCGAGTTTCAGTGTATTTAGCGTTCTGGCAGTACTGTGCTCGAAAGCCGCGACGGTGACAAGCCCATTTATATCGCTTACAGCTTCGTAGAATCTTTTGCGTGAGTCTGAAAGTACGACATCGGGTATGTTAATGTGCTTTTGCTTGGGCAGCGGTGGGGAAAGTTTCTGGATGCGTAGTTCACGAGTAATAATGCCATGCAGAGGTTCGTCCTGTATCTGTCGGACCATATCTTGAACGCTGATGGCGATTGCTATCAAGTATGATGCTGTCTGTCTTGTTGTTGATGAATTTTGAGATGAGGATGGCGAGCAATATGGACGGGCCATAGGCGATAACAACACCTATACCACAGGTCGTATGGGCAAACACAACGTTGTTATTGCTCTTTTGCCGCAGATGGGAAAGGTCAATGCTGCTACTGCAGCAGCTAAACTTCGATCGAGCTATAGTCAACTCGAATTGGTGCTTCTCGTCGGTATTTGCGGAGGTGTTCCCTATTATAACGGCAGTGAGATGGAGATTCTGCTTGGCGATGTTCGTCATTAGCAAGTGTGTTATTCAATATGACTTTGGTACGAAATACGCGGACCAATTTACTCGCAAAGATACTTTAGACGATAACTTGGGCAAAGCAAGCAAGAATATCAGAGTCCTGCTGAAGACCTTTGAGACAGATCGGGGCTTGGAGCTATTGCAAACCCAGAAAGCCGAGTTCCTAAAGCAGCTTCAGGAGAAAGCAAAAAGGGGGAAGAGTCGGGCTAGGGTGAGATCGAAATACAGCTTCCCAGGAACTGTCATGGATCAGCTATTTGAACCGGGTTATCTCCATAAACATCACTCGCCCACTTATACTTGCAGCATCTGCGATAATAAGTTAGATAATGCTTGTGACGAGGCTCGTGACGCTACTTGTGAGGATTTGGGTTGCAGTGCGAAGCATCTTATCATTCGAGAGCTACTTAAGGAGAAAGGGGAGCTTGAACA